TCGTCCGCCCAGCCCGACATCCGCACCGCCCGACGCCGCGGGCCCGCCGCAGCCCACGTCGCCGCCGCCTCAGCCCGGGTCCCCCCGCAGCGTCCCCGCGGGCTCAGTGGCGATCAGCCGCACTGCATTGTGGGAGCGCGGAGCGGAAGCGAAGGGGTCGGTAGAGGCACAAGGAATCCTCTTAAAGGGGACGCGGCTAAGACGATTGCGCGTGCGCGCAGGCCGGCGCCCCCTGTAGGTGCGGACGCGGCCCCGGGATGACTGCAGGCGGAGCGCTGAGTCGGGTGATTTGGGGTCTATGCGTGAAAGCGGTTCGCTTGCTGCATGCACTTAGGCCTTCCGAACTTCGGTTTCTCTCTCCGTGGCGCCAACTACTTGGAGGGTTTTTGTGACCACTCCCGAGGGGTGATCCAGGTACCCAGGGTCGGCCTCGCGCGGCCACTCTGGAAGGGAGGCACTCCGCAGGGGCACGAGTGAGTTCCCAGCCCGCAGCCTCAGGTAAGTAGCTCTCTTGGCCAACTGTGCCCCCCCTCCCCCGCCTTTTTTTCCGTGCTCCCTTTTTACGTTGCTTAGAAATGACGGCGTAACATGACTCCGTGGCTTGGACTTGGAGTTTATCCGAGGCAAGGGTGAGGACTCCTAATAACCATTACTATCACTATCAGTATAGAGTGATACCAGGGATTTGTGCATTGGCTCCTCACCCAGGATGGAGGGATTCTCGTAATACAGGGGAGAGAACTGGAATCTCAGGGTCAGGTCAGGATTGGAGCCCAAAACCACGCCGTCATGCTATGTGCTGGGTCCTTAAGGAGTTTAGCCGAACACTGAATCCGGGACGTTGCAACAATGAGTCCTTGCATCAAACAGTCTTAAAGGTTTTTATATTTAAAAATGAGCAAGCATGCCTAAAGTGATGAGAACGGAGAAGAAAGGACTGTGGCGTGACTACCCTCCGTGTGAGTGGTTTCTCACTTTCCCTCTCTCCAGCAAGTTGCACATGCCTTATGGTAAAAATCTTACCCCCTCCCCCTCCCAAAAAAAAAGGAGAGAAGAGAAACCTCGGGGTCCAGCAGGTGGCGTGGTGGTTAAGGCACTGAATCACTGAATTCCCACAAAGCCAGCCAGGTTAGAGTCCTGGATCCAGCGGCCTGAAAATTATGCCAGGTGCCCGCCTGCATGTTTGTCCAAAATCTCAAGAGAATAGAGGAGTCTGGATGGCGTGGCCATTCCTCCGGAGGGATGGCCGCCACCCCCCACCAAGTTTTAAGGCAATAAATAAATAAATAAATAAATAGAAAAGAAAAAGGAACCTCAGGGCCAGTAGGTTGTGTGGTGGTTAAGGCACTGGTTCCCACATGACTGACTCCAAGGTTAGAATCCTAGACCTGGGGACTAGCATTTGGCGTAATGGCTATGTTGCTGGACTCCCAGGTAGTTGACCTTGGTTCGTAGTCCCGGACCCAGTGGCTTAAGGGCTTGTGTGTTGGTGTGTTCAAGATCACAGAGGAGAATGGAGGAGAAGGGATTGCAATGTGGCCATCTCCCCTGGGGGGTGATTTCTGGTTTTCTGTATCTCCGTCTCTCTGGCAGGTGCACAGCCCCAAAACCTTTCCCCTCACCCCCCAAAAAAGAGAAAGAACCCCAGACCTATGGCTTGAGAATCATACTGGGCGCACGTGAGTGCTTAATGGAGAAGGAATCGAGGTGTAGTCATGGTCCCTGGCGGGTGATTTCTTACTTTTCTCAGTCTGTCTGTCTCTATCCTGTACCAAAAACAAAAACAAATCTCAAGGAACTGATGGGTGGGTACATGATAAAACAAATATAGCAGAATGCTGATGGTGGTGGCCGTGTGTGAGTGTTCACAGTACATTCTTTCAACCTTATTTATGTTTGAAATTTTTCATAATAAAATATTGGGGAGTGAGAGAAGATGAATCGTGTTAAAAGCGAACTGCATTGGGGCTGGCAGGGTGGTGGTTGAGGGCTGGACTCCACATGGGCAACTGCAAGTTCCAGTCCCAGACTCAAACTGTGTTGTTGGCCATGTGGGATCCAGGCAGCTTAACCTCCATACCACTGACAGGCCCAGTAAGTATATAACCTTTTAGGAAGGCAAATTGATATCATACAACAGGCCCTCATAACATACGTATGTCCTTTGATCTTGTTTTTGTCTTTTTAATTTTTTAGAGAGATTTTTTGCAAAATACAGAGACAGAAACCGAGAAATCCCCCCACGGGGGGATGGCCACACTGCAGTCACTTCTACTCCATTATCCTATCAGAATCTTAGGCAGGCATGCACATGCACACGCGCCCAGTGGGAGTGTAAGCCACTGTGTCTGGGACTCGAACCACAGTTGACTACATGGGAGTCCAGTGACATAATCATTTGTTGGTCCTGCCCTTTGATCTTATAATTCCATTTGTAGGATTTTACAATGGAGCTATAAGCAAGAACTTACCATAATTTAACTATGGATTTATGGTCATCATTGCATCCTGTACAATTAAAAAGTTAAAACTGATAAGGGAGTGATTCAACACATTAATAATGTTACACAATTATTAAGTCATTTTTAATATAAAGATATTGGGAACCAGCAGTTAGTGTAATGGCTATGTTGCTGGACTCCCATGTCGTCAACCGCGGTTCGAGTCCCAGACCTGGTGGCTTAAAACTCACGCCAGGCGGGTGTGCGGGCGTGCCCGAGATCCCGAGAGGAGAATGGAGGAAAAGGGATTGCGTCGTGACCATCCCCCCTGGGGGGTGATTTCTCACTTTCTGTCTCTATGTCTCTTTCTGTCTGTCTGGCGAGCGCACGCGCCCTATAGCAAAAACCTCTCAAAAATAAAAAAATTAAAAAAAAAAGATATCAAGGTCACACTAATTAAAGTGAACTAAAAGTGGTGTTTCATATATACACATACAAGTATATATTCTTTTTTAAACTTTTTAAGAAATAATTATTTCATTTAACTTTTTATTTCTTTATTTCAATTTGACCAGAGAGGGACAGAGTGAGGGGGGGTGGGGGTGAGAAAGCAAGCCACTGGGTGCAGGACTCAAACCACAGCTGGCCATGTGGGAGTCCAGTGCCCTTAATCACCATGCCACCTGCTGGCCCCATGTTCCTTTTTTTCTTTAATCTTTATTTTTATTTATTTATTTTTAATTTGACCAGAGAGGGACAGAGAGAGAGAAAGTGAGAAAGCAAGCCGCCAGGTCCAGGACTCTAACCATGGTCAGCCATGTGGGTGTCCAGCCCCCTTAACCATCACGCCACCTGCTGGCCCCTGAGATCTGTTAAACTTCTACCAATTTGTCTCCAAAGCATGTAATTCTGGGAACTTTCACTTTATTATTTTTACTTTTTTTTTAAGCCACCGGGTCCCGGACTCAAACCATGGTCGACTGCATGGGAATCCAGCAACATAGCCATTATGCTAACTGCTGGTCCCTATTTTTCCTTTTTAAAAAAAAAATTATTTATTGAGAACTGGCAAGTGATGTGGTGGTTAAAGCACTGGACGCCCACATTCCCACATGGACAACCATGGTTTGAATTCCAAACCTGGTGGCTTGCTTCCTCACTTTCCCTTTCTCTCTCTCTCTCTGGTCAAAATTAAAATAATAACAGTAACAAATAAAGTAAAAATAATTATTTTTAATAATTATTTATTTAGGGACCACCAGATGGCATAATGGTTACATCGCTGGACTCCCACATAGTCGACTGCAGTTTCAGTCCTAGAGCAGAATGGAGGAGACGGGATTACAGCGTGGCCATCCCCCTTGGGTGATTTCTCATTTTCTGTCTGTCTCTCCGGCGAGCGCACATACCCTATAGCAAAAACCTCTCTAAAATAAATAAACAATATTTATTTACTTAATTCTATTTGTTGTTATTTTTCAGTTTGGCCAGACAGCAAGAGAGAAAAGGAAAGCAAGAAAGCAAGCCTCCAGGTCGAGGACTTGAACTGTGATTGACCATGTGGGAATCCTGCACCTTAACCAGCATGCCTCCTGCTGGCCCTGGAATCTTCACTTTTTTTTTTTGAGAGGTTTTTGCTATAGAGCACATGACCTCGCCAGAAAGACAGAATCAGGGAGACAGAAAGAAATCACCCCCCAGGGGAGATGACCATGCCACAATCCCTTCTCCTCCATTCTCCTCTTGGGACACCCACACGCCTGGCATGAGTTTAAGCCACCTGGTCCAGGACTCAAACCGCAGTTGACTACATGGGAGTCCAGTGATGGGAGTCCAGCGACATAGCCATTACACCAACTGCTGGTCCCAGAACCTTTACTTTTAATGTCATATATTTCTGTTTAGTTGGAAATTGCTACTACAACTATGTTTCATTTTTATATTCTGAAAAAAATTAAAAAGGAAACAATTCTATCTAATGTTACACATTTAGTATGTTTGGTAGTTACAAAAAAAAGATGTACAAGAAAATAACCTTCCAAATGGCTGTGGAGATACCTCTTGATGATAGTGATTTCCATAGTTTTATTTATGCTTTTCTGTATTTATCAAATTGTAATTAACATGTACTAATTGGAATAAAATACAATAAATGATTTCTAAAATCAAACGATCAGAATGGTCTCTTGATTATGTCATGCTTCTAGCTGTTCTCTGCTGAGCTTCAGAAGGAAAGCAGGAAAGGGCACTGGCCAATATGACCTGGAGTCTTAGATATGCAGCTGTATAGGAGCCTACAAATCCTAACGGCATCCTAAAGGCCAAATGCCTCCCAGATTGATTTCCAGGTCTCTGGTTTGTGGAACTGGTTGGACAGTGGCATCAAGGGCATCTTTTTTATAAAATAAAATAATTATTTATGGATTTTATTTAATTATTATTATTTTTTTAGTTTGCTATAGGGCACATGTGCACACCAGAGAGAGAGAGAGAGATTGAAAGTGAGAAAGCAAGCAAGCTGCCAGGTCCAGGACTCAAACCTCAGTCAACCATGTGGGAGTCCAACACCTTAACCACCATGCCAACCATTGCCCCCCAGGCATTTATGTTTTTCAAGCCAGCCAGGACTCGGCCATGTGGGATCCAGTGTCTTATTCTACACCTCTTGATCCCCAGTGGCATCATGCTAAGAGAATAAA